AGAAAATGAAGGCTAATCATGTTTTGGGTGTACTATTCCTTTAAACTGAATCCTGGTTGGTCTCATGCAGACAGCATATGCAATCAGCACAACACCAACTAAATTTAGTTTGGACTCCAGAATACCCAGCAATGTCTGCATCACAGCTGCAGTGATCTGGACCACAGAGATCTACAGTGGTAGATCAGCTCAGTGTGTCACCATTAGAGATCCAGAACCTCTGCAGGGAGCAGCCATCAGACAGGAGGAACAGGGGGTTCCAGACACAGGGGAACTGAACGTTTTCTAAGAACCATCAGGAGGTTGAACCGAAGAATAACTGAACAGCTAGATTATCCTCTATATAATGAGCCCACTTTACTGAATCTAATATGACTGTATAATGTTTAAGGTTGTAAGACGAGAAAACTATTTTTTGTTTTTTGTTAATTCCAGCCAAATGTCTAGTTTCCCCTTTTGGTTTCACCATTTTTGTGAATTGCGACAGACTGAGAAACCCAAATAATCCCAGATTGACAGGATGCTCTGAATACATTTTGAAGACTGTTTAGTGTCAAACTAACGTCCTAAAATTTTAAAATTTCAACATCCGTGGGATTTCCAAATACCAGGTCACCAAAACACAGTGACTTAAAGCAAAGCCACAAACTGACCAGTAATCGTTAATCTGGTGATGAGAGCTCGGTACGAGATGCTAACCTTTAAATGAAGCTAAATACTAGCGTTAGCTTCTAAACGCCCATCGTAATCATTGGGGGTTAATGGTCGGAGTTTAAATGTTAAGAAAGGGAAATATTTAAAGCACATACAATCAAAAAACAAAACACATTTAAAGCCAAATAAGCGGAGCTCGGCCTACCTTCACAGCCGCTGCTAACGGGTTAGCTGCTAACAGGCTAGCTTCGTTTGGCTGCTGAACAATAAACCGTCAGACAGAAACATCCGCAGCTGCAGGGCACTCGGTCGATCAGGTTCTGTTAAAATGAGCGACCAGAGTTCGTCCCTAACCAGGTAGAACAGATCCAGGATGAATTCTGAGGCATTGGTCCGACGGTTTGGTAGCTGCCAATCGGTACTTGCTGCTGCGCATCCAGCTAACGGCTAGCCAGGCTAACACCGCAGGTTAGCTCGCTGAGCGCCGAGTAATCGAACTCTACCGAAATAAGACAAATGTTTTGATCTTAACCATTAACTCGTGATGTGAAGGCCCACTGCTAGCTGTAACATTAGTACATTTGTTCGAAATTAATAATCCAAGCCTAAAACTAACAGGGAATCTGGTCGCTTAATTAAACTGAACAGAGAAGCTGCTCGTCAGTCGACTGGCGCTCCTTATTCTGACAGGATGGAATCAATCAAACCATATTCTGATGAGATCAGATCACTGAAAAAACACACAAAAAAAAAGCTTAAATGAAGAAATTTATGTATATATACATACATATATGCATAAATATATATATATATGTGTATCTACAGATCCTTCTTAAAATATTAGCATATTGTGATAAAGTTAATTATTTTCCATAATGTAATGATAAAACTTGAAAATTCCTATATTTTAGATTTATTGCACACCAACTGAAATATTTCAGGTTTTTTTATTGTCTTAATACGGATGATTTTGGCATCACCTTCACCTACAACACGGACAGCTGCCATCTCCAGAAGTTCTCTTATGACTCGGCCATTGTGCGCTGTGTTTCTGAGGGGAACGAGCTGGAGTATCGATCGGTCATCGTGAACTTTGTGGACTAGTGTGAGAAGAACCGCCTGTGTCTTAACACCAGTAAGACCAAAGAGATGGTGATCGACTTCAGGAGAAGACCCCCACCTCACTCCCCCATAAACATCCAGGGGCAGGACATAGAAACTGAAGAGTTTCAAATACCTGGGTGTTCACATCACCGACACCCTGTAAAAGAAGGGCCAGAGCTGCCGCCTCCACCACCTGAAGAGGCTGAGGTCCTTTGGAGTTAGCGGACCCTTGCTTAAAACCTTCTATAGACTCTG